ATGCTATATTAATTGGTTTATTGTATTGAATGATGGAGGTTATGCGTGAGACATCACGCTGCTCGTTGAACGCCATCATCAGGGCTCTTTACTTATTGACAAAGTTTAATTTATGCCATGTCGTCATGTAAATATCTAAAGCAATAAAAATATAATAAATGATCAATCATAAGTATTAGATTTTTCGTTTCCGTTTTATTTTATTATTCTCTAAATCAAGGATTTATTTTGAGCAGCTTGTTACGAAAGCTCCAGATCATCCATTCATCACAACTTTTACAAATTCAATTCTGCGTGACCACTGACCAATAAATAAGTATATTTTTTCTCCCATGCCTTTTGTCCAGCTTATTTATTAATCCCATATTAATAATTCATACATTTGTTTAAATGTTGAGTGTGGTTGATATCACATTGGCATGCCAAAATGACATCAAAGAAAATGATAGAGGCTGTCAGCCAACCAGATTAGGCCACGTCATCATCTGACAAAATAGCCATATGGGTGGTTAACATCACACTGCACTGTAAGCCCACAGAAGCAGTGCTATCCACCTCGACCTCTCCTATCATCCACTTCATATGATCTTTTTGTATTATTTCGGGGTTAAGTACCCACTTTCCTTGTATTGTCTTGCACACGTTAATTAGGCTCTTGAACTAGAGAATTATAATGTTTTGATATGATTATTCTGAAACCATATATGAACGAAGTGGTTGTGTAGGTCAACTTCATGCTTCATCCCCACATGCCAAAACCCAAATGTATAATATTACTTAAAAATTTCTTCCCGAAACATGCCAACTTGTATTATTTTATGAGTTTTGAAATCTCACTCTTAATTGTCCTTATCTATGTGGCCTATAAATTTTGTTGACCCGGTGTTACTTGTGGAACAAGCTAATTCCATATATCTGCCAGTACTATAAAGATTTGAGGTCTAATCACATTTTATAGCTCAAGTTTCAGCTTGCAAAAAACAGTAAGCGCTGCTTTCTATGTATTTAATTAGTGAAATATTGATTATCAAAAAAAAAAAAAATTAGTGAAATATTATTCTCATTTTACATGAGATAGTTCTCATATTCTCTCACTTCAAAAATCGCAATTCCTTTTTCCTTTCTTTCTTTTTTTACTTTTTAATGGTTGGCTTCATTTGAATTCTCTCTATAGGATGAGAGAACTACTTTCATAACTCCAAAAAAAAAGAGAACTACTTTCATGTTACATGAGAGTAATATTCCATATTTAATTAATATTAAGATTTACTTTTTGCTATAAATTAATGACCCGATATGATTAAGGGTGTAAATGGATTAGCCCGGTCTATAGGAGTAGGGGTGTGCAAAAAAACTGGTTCACTTGCCTGCCCTTGATCCGACCTTGACCTGACCCATAAATACCTATATTTTTTGAACTAGTTTAAATACTGACCCACTTTTATTTGGGTCAGTTTTAGACCTGACTTGTTTAATATTGACCCATTGACCCAAAACTTAACCCATACCCATTATGTGAAAAAAAAAATCACAATTACATTAAAAGAAAAGTTTTAACGTAAAATAATTACGTCAAATGTGTTTACGAAAATATTTAAATAAAAAAATTTCGCAAATTTTTTTGACGAAAATATTTTCATCAAAATTTGTGACTAAAAACATTTCTGTAAAAAAATTTGACGGAATATTTTTTTTGTCAAATTTTTTTACGGAATCTAAATTTCGTCAAAATATTTCACAAAAAAATATATTCATCAAAAATTTCGACGAAACACATTTTCATCGAAATTTTTTAACGGAAAAAAATTTCATCAAAATTCTTTACAGATTTCGAATTTCGGCGAAAGTTTTCGACGAAAACATTTTCATTAAACTTTTTGACAAAAAAAAATTTCGTCGAAATTTTTAGCGAAACACATTTCTATCGAAAATTTTCGACTAAATATTTTGTCAAGTTTCTTGATAAAAAATATTTCCATCAAAATATTCAACGGAACGCATTTTTGTAAAATAATTTCGTAAAAATTTTTGACAAAAAATATTTCAATAAAAATTTTGACGGAAAAAACATTCTATCAAAATTCTTTAGAGAATCTAAATTTCATCGAAAGTTTCGAATGAAACATTTCCCTCAAAACAATTTCCATCGAAAATTTGGACGAAACACATTTTCATCAAAAAAATTTGACGGAAAAAAATTTCATCAAAATTCTTTACAGATTTCAAATTTCGGCGAAAGTTTTCGACGGAAAAATTTTCGTTAAGCTTTTTGACAAAAAAAAAAATTTCGTCAAAATTTTTAGCGAAACACATTTGCATCGAAAATTTTCAACTAAATATTTTCGTCAAGTTTTTTGATAAAAAATATTTCCATCAAAAATTTCTACGGAACACATTTCTGTGAAAAAAAAAATTCGATAAAAAATTTTGACGGAAAAAATATTCGGTCAAAATTCTTTAGAGAATCTAAATTTCGTCGAAAGTTTCGAATGAAACATTTTTCTCAAAACAATTTCCGTTGAAATTTTCGTCAGAACACATTCCCATCGAAATTTTGAACGAAAAACATTCCGTTAAAATTTTTGATAGAATTTTTTTTTTCGTTTAAAACATTTGATGGAAGAAATCATTTTCGTCAAAACTTTTGACGGAAACTAAATTTCGATAAAAAATTTATTTTTGTAAAAATTTTCATTAGAGAAAAAATTTCGTTGTTTCTCGACAAAAAGTATTCCGACGAAAAAATAATTTTGTGACGAAATTCTCGTCATTTGCAATGTAGAAATTTTGTGAGGAAATCAAGTCAAAAACGAGTCAGGTCAGATTTGATCCACTTCAGAAACCAAGTCAAGTCAGATCCGATCCAATTCTGAACTAGTTCAACAAAATCCAAACCAAGTCAGACCTGACTTGGATCAAATTAAAGCGGGTCGGGTCAAAATACCTGACCTATAAAAATCAAGTTGGGTCGAGTCGGACAAAAACCTGACCCGACCTGACCCAACCTGACCCACGCACAACCCTATATAGGAGCCTACGACCTAGCCTATATTAGATCATACTTGACATATTATAAAGGACTAGGATCCTTTGACACCAGTGTCAAATTTAAAGTTTGACAGCTCATTTGAGAGCCATTAGATCAAAAAAGATCAATAGTATCACATGCTTACAAATCAGAGTCGTTGATCTTTTTTGATTTAATTACTCTCATATGAGGTGTTAAGCTTTAAATTTGACACTGATATCCAATGATCCTACCCCTATTTTAAATAATCAAATAGAACAGGCAATAAATATTTTTTTGTACATGTCGGGTCAATAAGTTTACAGGCCGACTTATATCATATAATTTATTTTAAATAAAATAAATAAAATTATTATATTAATAATTTTGAATAATAAAATAATTTTATTTTAATTAATTTTGTAATTATTGAATGTTTAATAGACTTAAACATACTAATAGATCTGGGCTAAGATTTTTATTTTTTAAATATAAGTTAAGCCAGACTTGAAATTTAGGCCTACACAAAGCATTAATATTAAGCCAAATATAAGGTCTTTTACACATTCCTAACCTATTTAAGTCAAAGTCTAAACCTAACCTAATCTATTTACCCCATAAAGATGATAACTATACAGGGTATTAGAGAAATAAGTCTTCTTTGCAATAAATGGGGTATTTGAGCCTTCTATTCCTTCAGTCTGCGAAGGATGTAAACGACGAGTATATGCGGAAATATTTAAGTTATTAATTATATTGGACTATTTAATTGGAAAAACTGAGAATTGCAGTGATTTCGGTTACCAGCCGACGAATAAACTGCAAATTTCCACATACGACATAATTGTTAACAAAAGAAATCAACAATTTTGGTGAACCAGAAGCCAAAAAAAAAAAAAAACACACTTGTCACAGTGAGCATATCTAATTCGTTTATTTTTTCAAAAATTAAAAGAAAATTATTGTGATTGTGATCGAGGTTTACGTTGCAAATTCTTTCTTGAAGCTAGTTGTCGCGATGCCTTTACCTTCCACATACGTTCAGCGTCATTATCAAGTGCAATATGTGGCAGCAAAACAGTGACTGAAAACAAAGTGAACAATGCAGTTTGATCACACGTCTAAGTGGCCTCCCTTTGCTGCTTAAAATCCGTGAACGTCATATTGCCTTTTGCTTCGCGGTGTTAATAAGGAATATAATGGTTGCCTTGCCGGTTCATTAGATCATACCCCGCACCGACCTTGTATCCATAGCCATTAGACTCTAGTCACTATACCTTACCTACATTTTGTCCCTCCCACCTTTGTATACATGAACCTCAACCTCAAGTACTTCTTTTTTTTTATAAAATTATAATTAATCAATGGCAAATTGGCAATGAAGCGAATCATGTGGGTCCAACTACATTGTTGGTCCTTGCTCAATGCTTAATCAATCATCATCAACCAGCTACTAGACCCCATTATTTGATGTCATGTCATGGATTTCGCTATTGCTAAAATAAAATAAAAATTATTAAATCCATCCGTTTTAATTGTAGAATTTAATCCATCGTTCTAGAAACAAATATAGGTAATGACTGCAGAACTACCAACTTGTGTACACGTGTCACACAACAACATATGAACCCTCTTACACCTCCTGCGCGTCAGAATCAGAACACGTGATACGTGTCAATGAAGCAAGCGAAAACTCATTCACATCACACTTAAAAAAAAAAAAAAAAAATTAAAAATTCTTTCTTTTTTGAGGTGTGAATTTGAGCAATGGAATAGCCGATTTATTGGGCTCACACATACATATCAATCTTTACCACAACCTTACCCAATTGGTCAATTTTTTCTCATTTGTTTTTCTTTCATGTGCATTTTTATACATAGGAGAGAGTATTATTCAATTATCAATATCCATAGAAATAAAATATTCACAAGAAGAAAAATATTTTATATTTTACCTACACCAGCACCGCATCTTATATATCTCACGCCAGAACCTCTCCACACACTTTCCTTCATTTCAACCAAACTTTCTCTTTTCTCTCTCTCTCTCTCTCTCTTTTCTCTATTGTTGTGAAAGAAAAAGGGAACGGGATCGCAATTTTGAAAGTGGAAAACGAAAGAAGGAGCATGATTGAGGTGGAAACGATGCAGAAGCAAGAGGGAGAAGCTTCTTCTTGTCATCATAATCATAATCAGGTATCGCCTTCTCCCAGTTTCAGCAGTTACTCTTCGGAGACGCTCGCCGAGATCGCCGCCAGGGTAATCGAGGAGCTCCGACTGGACCCTCATTCCGCCTCCAGCGACGACACTCTTTTCCAGCCATGGGTAAACGACGACGACGACGACGACAACAACTCTCGAAACGACACAACTGAAAACGACGACTTCGAGTTCTCGTTTGTTTCCAGAGACCCAAACAGTTCTCCTGTTTCCGCCGACGACATTTTCTACAACGGCCAGATCAAACCCATGTACCCAATCTTCGACCGCACTCTGCTCTTCGACGCTCCCACTCCCTCAAACGACACAGTTGCTGCTTCCGTTTCCCCTGTTCAGAACACAAACCACGACGAGACGAAACGGCGTCGTCTCCCTCTGAGGAAGCTAATGTTCGAGGAAGGTGAAACGGCGTCGTGTTCGTCTTCAACCGACGAGAGCGTTGAGCTGGAGGGCGTGACTGAAGGAACCTACTGCGTGTGGACCCCCAATTCGGTTGCTATGGAGCGCAAGAAGAGCAACTCAACAGGTTCTGCGTCAAAGCGCTGGAAGCTTCGAAATCTGCTTCTCAGGAGCCAAAGCGACGGCAAGGATAAACAACAACCCGTGTTTCAGATTCCGAGCAATAAAGTTGCAGCAAAGCCTGGCTCCGGCGACTGTGACGGCGGCGCGTCGGTGGAGCGTGAAGCGAAGTACAAAACCGTGGCTAAGGATAATGGAGAGCAGAGCAAGAAAAAGTCCTTCTTGCCTTACAAGCCAGAATTGGTTGGACTTTTCGCTAATGTCAATGGGCTTGGTCGGAATTTGCGTCCGTTTTGATTTGATTTTTATATTATTGATTATAGTTTTATTTTATTTTTTATCAAATTTTATATCTCGTGTTTTATTAGTTTAATCTAATATTTTTCTTTTTGCCGGGTGTATTGTAATTAAAGCGGATATGATGTGTTTATTCTTTTTCTGTATATTCTATGAAAGGGCTTTTACGTCTGTTATGATTTTTAAAGAAGTTTATATATAAGAGGGGTTAGTTTGTATTTGAATTGGTATAATAGTGGAATTTATGTAAATTAAGATGCCAAAGTTTATGGATTACTTTTACGCTTCAACTCAGAGGATGGATTTCTTAATAAAGTCTACAATGTATATATATAGCATATAATATAATATAATGTAAGCAAATAGAGGTATAATGTTGTAGGAAAGTGTTTAGGTTATGTTATAGAGACACAGACTATGAGACTCACATTTTTTTATTTTTTTGGTTTTTGAAAACAAGTGTGAGTCCTCACAATGTGTATCTCTGTAATATAACCTAAACACTTTTCTACAATATAATTAACCATCTTAGCATTGGGTGTGTAAGGATGTATGATGCGTGTGCTTACGGCTGCCTCTGCGATTCTGCATATGCATGGTGTGTAAAGTATGCAGCGCATAAGTTGACAGAGTTAATTTTTTGAACTTTCGTGTGGGTCTGGCGCGGCATAAACTTGGATTAGAAGATTATGCTAAAGTTTAAAGTAGAATATATAGTAGGGGAAGGAGAAATAAAGTAGTCTTGGTGGATAAACGACTTTTGAATGGTGGACTGGTGGAGATATAGAAATTGGAAAATCATCCTTGTACGCGGCATAATTTTCTCACAAGTTTTAAGACTTGCAAATTTTGAATTAATAACGTACATTTTTTAGTTCATGGATAACTAACTAATGTGGCAATCGTTACATCATTCATCCCTGTAAATTTAATATAAAAACCCTAAATTGCATTTAACAATGTTCGATAAAGGGAACCAGAAACGGTACAGAAAAAAAATATATATATACAAAGGGAACCGACTAGTTTTCCTAATTTAATTAATAATTGAGTTCGAGTCTTTATATAATTATATTTAAAATTTGGTAGGAAAAATATTATTACTCTTCTACTCCTTCCCAACTTAAATCGATTAGTTCAACAATAGATGAACCGGTAAAAAAATTTTTTTTACCAAAAGAATTAGATAGAAAAATTGTAGGAAAGATGGAGACATTAGGGACAAGAGAAGGTTAGGAAAAGAGAAAAACATATTCTTTTCAAATTCTTCTGATATTTTATATTATTATTGCATCGTTATTTATCATAGTTGATTATAACAGATTTTATCCAAAAGCAAAAAAAATATTCAGAGTAATTGTTGAAATTGAAAAAAATAAGATTCTCAAAACATCTTCTAAATGTTGCTACATTTGACACTATTTTTCAAACTAGCCCCGTCTTTAACGTAGAGTTGTGTTGCCCTGTTGTTCCCTTCTTCTATGGAGGTTAAAGATGGCAATATATGTTAAGCCAATATTGTAGTGCTAGTTTATTGCATCAATGATGTGTAATCTCATAGTCCCGGCGAAAGAACCAGTTAGTCCTGGGTGAGAACGAGAGGGATAATTGAGTCGTATCATTAAATGGAGTGAGTTGTCATTGTATTGTCATGCACCACGATTATGTCTTGAGCAAGTCACAGATTAAAAGAAAACCCCCTCTTTTACGTGAACTTGGTTAGGTGGGATGGTGTGCAAGTCCTAGGTTAGCCACATATTAATGGCAACTCCCTTGATTATGTAAGCTTGGTTAGGTGGTACGGTGTGCGGTTATGTGTCTTGGGCTCGCAACATATTAAAAGAAAACCCTCTAAATTATGTGAGCTTGGTTAGGTGGAAGCAAGAGGGGTGACTGGATTGTATCACTAAATGTATTAAGTGAGTTATCAATGTATTGTCAAGCATCGCAATTACGTCTTGAGCAAGTCACAGATTAAAAGTAAACTCCATCGTTTACGTGAGCTTTGTTAGGTGGGACAGTGAGCGAGTCTTAGGTTAGCAACATATTATTAGCAACTCTCTTGGTTATGTAAGCTTGGTTAGGTGGGATGGTGTGCGACTATGTGTCTTAGGCTAGCGGCATATTAAAAGGAAACCCCCTAGGTTGCATGAGCATGGTTAGGTGGAAGCGGGAGGGACGATTGAGTTGTATCACTAAATGTATTGGATGAGTTGTCAATGTATTGTCAAGCACAATGATTACGTCTTGAGTAAGTTGCGGATTAAAAGGAAACCTCCTCGTTTACGTGAGCTTGGTTAGGTGGGACGATGTGTGATTATGTTTCCTAGGTTAGCCACACATTAATGGCAACCCCTTGGTTATGTAAGCATGGTTAAGTGAGACTGTGTGTGATTACGTGTCTTGGGCTAGCGGCACATTAAAAGGAAACCCCCTAGGTTACGTGAGCTTGGTTAGGTGAAAGCGTGAGGGACGATTGAGTTGTATCACTAAATGTATTGGATGAGTTGTCAATGTATTGTCAAGCACAACGAATACGTCTTGAGCAAGTTGCAGATTAAAAGGAAACCTCCTCGTTTACGTGAGCTTGGTTAGGTGGGACGATGTGTGATTATGTTTCCTAGGTTAGCCACACATTAATGGCAACCCCTTGGTTATGTAAGCATGGTTAAGTGAGACTGTGTGTGATTACGTGTCTTGGGCTAGCGGCACATTAAAAGGAAACCCCTAGGTTACGTGAGCTTGGTTAGGTGGAAGCGGGAGGGATGATTGAGTTGTATCACTAAACGTATTGGATGAGTTGTCAATGTATTGTCAAGCACAACAATTTCGTCTTGAGCAAGTTGCAGATTAAAAGGAAACCCCCTCGTTTACGTAAGCTTGGTTAAATGGGACAATGTGTGATTATGTTTCCTAGGTTAGCCACACATTAATGGCAATCCATTTGGTTATGTAAGCTTGGTTAAGTGGGACGGTGTGTGATTACGTGTCTTGGGCTAGCGGCACATTAAAAGGAAACCCCCTAGGTTACGTGAGCTTGGTTAGGTGGAAGCGGGAGGGACGATTGAGTTGTATCACTAAATGTATTGGATGAGTTGTCAATGTATTGTCAAGCACAACGATTACGTCTTGAGCAAGTTGCAGATTAAAAGGAAACCCTTTCGTTTTTACGTGAGCTTGGTTAGGTGGGACAATGTGTCCTAGGTTACCCACACATTAATGGCAACCCCGTTGGTTACATAAGCTTGGTTAAGTGGGACGGTGTGTGATTACGTGTACTGGGCTAGTGGCACATTAAAAGGAAACCCCCTAGGTTATGTGAGCTTGGTTTGATGGGACGATGTGTGGTTAAGTGTCTTAGGCTAGCGGTATATTAAAAGAAACTCCCTAAATTACGTGAGCTTGATTAGGTGGGACAGTGTGTGGTTACGTGTCTTAGGCTAGTGACACATTAAAAGGTCTTGAGTTATGGACTCAATAAGTTGCGCGAACAGGCGGTTAGGGTTAGACAACGAAGGATAATAGGAAGATTGGAAGCCAATGACATCACTAGTGATGTTGTCGCATTGTCCATTATAATAGGCACAACAGTAACTCCGATGCACACTCGAGAAACCTATCAAAGATGACACAATCTCAAGCATGAGATTATCAATGTTTTGCTGGATTATAATTTGAAATGATTGAAGGTTAGACTGTAGTTTGCAGAGAAAGATCGTGAAGGGGTTATTACTACGGAGGAAGAGTAAGTCAATGGACCACATTAACAATAAGAATTAGAATAGGGAAATTAGAGGAAATAATGAGAGAATTATACGGAGACGAGAAAAGACTAAGGAAACAAATAAAGATTTTTCTTAAATATTATAAAAATTTCTTCAATATTTGCATTAATAATTCGGTGCATCAAGTAATAAAATAATAAATAAGTAAAGTGACTGAGCTAATTATATTTATTCTACCCAATCCTTATTGATTAATGTCAGTGAATCCCATTATTTCTCCTTTATTATATGGAGTACTTAGTATTGACGGTTTCCTTTTAATTCTTTTAATATTCTTGCTCATTACTATTACATCACTATTTATCGGTTGATTACAACAAACTTCTTTATAAAGAATAATTGATGAAAATAAAAAAAAGTAAGATTTTGGAACATCTCAATAATGGGTTGCTATAGAATAAGTTTTTTATCTATAATTTTTTTAAATAATATGCATCATTATAAATATATTTCTACACCTAACAATGCTTTTCAACCTCAACGGAAGGGATGGTAAAAAAACCTTCGATGAAAGGGTATAAGTAACGATTTAAAATGATTGAGAACAAGTAATATTCTCTTCTTTTAATTTGAAAGCCACAAATTGAAAATTTCAAATTTTCCGAGTTAAAAGTATTTTGGACAAAATAATGTATACTATTCATGATGTTAACGTAAATTCGATAAACAAATAAAATCTCTATGAAAAATAAAATAAAAGTGAAAGAGATCTTATTCGATTAAATTATCAGAATTACCGTTAATTATAGTAAAACATAATAGTCAATTAAATTTTGAATAAATTTTTAAATTCGTCTTTTAGAAATTTGGCGGTGGACATCTTGATCTTTAAGGTACAAATGTTAATCATATAATTTTTTTTTTTTTTACGCAATCTTGAAATTCAAACGACCATTTTTAACCGTAGTAACTAGTAAGGTTCTTACATCCTCATAATCTATACTATTAAATTTCACATAGAAAAATGTGGGGTTTTACTTTTGAATTTTGGAAGAAATGAAGATGCAAAATATCTTGCAGAATATTGATTTTTTTTTTATTTTGCCAAATCATAGAAAAAAGGCAATTTTTTTTTTAAAAAAAGTCTCATGGATAGTCTCACGAGGTCATTAATTTCCCAGTACTTTTCTTATTTTGTGATAACTGAATTTATGATTTTTACTTTAATATCACCTTATTGTTAGCAGTTACATGATCCCTCTCTTTAAAAAGATTTTAAACCCAAATAAAAAATAAAAAATAAAGAAAGAAGACATGGTACCGATATTTCAATTTGTCAACCAAATAAAATGTCGAAACAATAGAAACCCAATATCCCAAAAGAATTATATTAAC